GATGGCCTCGAGATGACCCTTCCTTGCTGAGTTATCAGAAAATGAACGAAAATGCGTCATTTCCTCTTCTCTCGTCAAAATCTCAGGAACCAATGGCCGCTCAGAAATGGAAGGGGTTTTGAAAACTTCGGTTCATTCTCTACAAGGTTCTGGCATGTTCTTTCACAAGAAATTTTTTTTTTCATCCCTACCAAAACTTTCGGAAAACAGGTCTTTTTGAGGTTTTTAGAAAATCACGTGCCACATTAAGAATATTGGGAAAATGAATAATGTTGAGTGTGCATATTACAGGCCATTGTTCCCCCGAAAGCCCTACAAAATTTCAACCTGATCCATCAAGCCATTTCATTGTTTTATGTGAGTGAATTTTTGACACTTCAAGCTTCAAATTGCTTTTTTTTTTTTTTCATTAACGTACGACCATTTTTACCAAAGATACAGCCACTCGAAAAATCGCAAAAATCGAGATTTTTTTGGTCCCTTAATTTTTTCCACTAGTGCAGTTTAATTAAAATTTTTTTTTTTTCAAATGGCCTAACTAAAAATAAAAATGTTATTATTTATCGATTGTAAACAAAAATAACTCATTTAATGTATATTTAATCTCAATAACTAAAAAATGTACTGACAATTAGTTTGACAGAATAATTGTCACACTTAAAATTTTAAAAATAATAGTAGTTTGGTATCCAAAACATGAACTATGATTAATGGATTTCATTTTTTTGCAGTGTTCTCACTACTAAGAATAGGTATGAAATATATTCGTTCAGTTGAACGCAATAGCTTACTTTTTATTTTTTAATATGTGCGTAGATAAGCTAATATCCTTGTAGGTGTAGAAAAATATGTTTTTTCTTTCCTCATATTTCAATGTAGAAAACTAGAATAATAACTAGAAATACCTACGCAACGTAAATAACTAGTTTTTAGTATTTACCCCATAAAAACTGCTATTTGCACTACTTCATACTATATCTCCTTAGTTTATAATGTTTGTGCAACATAAATTGTGTTTATAATAATATAAATATAAAATACGTCTTAGAAATAAGGATATCTGCATCTACTTACCCCTTACTGTTATGTTGGGTTAAACAATTTCACTGCTTCACGGCACAATGCTTTCCTCAAATGCATTCAAACAAATGATATGGATAAGAGTCCGAGCTCTAGTGACCGGTTCTAACAAGACATTTTTTTGTTTTTATATTACATGCATCTCATTAACACGCATTTAAAAGTAATTGCAGTTAAAAAAATGTAATTGTACTTATAATTGTAATTGGAAAAGTAATTATAATTAGAAAAGCAATTGTACTTATGAGAAGTAATTGTATTTAGACAATTTAAATAATATAAATTAATAGATGGTGGAATACCTGAATTTATGACTTATGATGATTTAAATCTTTTAAACATGCAGGATATTGTAAATGGATTTGCTACTTACTTTAAAAATTCCTACAGTAATTCATCAAATTTTGATGTTGACTTTGAGAGTGATTTATCAAATAATTTACATGTACATATAGCTGAATTTAAAGAATCTGATGTGTCGAAGGCAATATTAAAGTTAAAATCTAAATTTACTAAGGGACCTGATAATATACCATCCTTCATGGTTCGCGATTGTTCCCATGCGTTAGCTATTCCTTTAAATAAAATATTTAATTTGTCATTGCGTACTGGTACATTTCCTAATGCATGGAAGAGGTCAAGAATCTGTCCTGTTTTTAAAAAAGGTAAAAAAAATTGTATCGAGAACTATCGACCCATCACTATTATATGTAATTTTGCCAAAGTTTTTGAAATTTTACTATACGATAATATTATACCACACGTCAAATTTCAGATAGTGGACGAACAACATGGTTTTTGTAAGAACAGGTCAACAATAACAAATCTATTCTCATTTACACAATACAGTTCTGCAATAGTTGATGGCGGCGGCCAACTAGACGTAATATATACAGATTTTTCTAAGGCTTTCGACAAACTCGATCATAGAATATTACTTCAAAAGCTTAGCAAGTTTGGATTGTCCAAGCCTGTCATAAATTTTTTTCAATCATACTTGACAAACAGAACCCAGTTTGTTGAAGTGCGTGGATTTGAGTCTGTCGATATCTTAGTAACCTCTGGCGTACCTCAAGGCTCGATTCTGGGACCGCTTTTATTTATACTATTCGTAAATGACATCATTAATGACGTTAACGTAAAATATTTAATTTATGCAGACGATGTCAAAATTTTTTATCAGGTAGATATCTTAAATGATTGTCTTAAATTACAAAGTAATATTAATAAAATAAATAATTGGTGTTTAATAAATAATCTTCCATTAAATTCAAAAAAATGTAATATAGTGTCATATACCAAAAAAGATTTTCCAATTCTCTATAACTACTGTTTGGATGGTGTTATATTAAATAGGCCTGATTTTGTTATAGATCTTGGGGTAAAGTTCGATAGAAAACTTACTTTTAATGAACATCTAAATGACGTGGTAAAAGCATCATTCAGAAATTTGGGATTTATCATTAGGCGTGCAGTTGATCTCAATTCTATCGAAACCATGAATATCTTGTACAATGCGTTTGTCAAATCAAAATTAGAATATGCTTCAATAATATGGAAACCATTTTATGATATTCACATAAGCGCTCTTGAAAACGTTCAAAGACGATATCTAAAATTCTTGACATTTAAGATAAACGGAACATATCCACCAATTGGGATAAATCACACGTTACTTCTAAATAGATTTCAAATGCAAAGCTTAGAATGTAGACGAAAAAATCAGTCGTTAATATTCCTCTATAAACTTATTAACTACCAAATTGATTGTTCCGAGTTATTAGAACAACTTGTATTTAAAGTGCCAAGAACTGAATCTCGAAACAACTTAATGTTTTATCTCCCGCTATCTCGGACAAATTTATTAAAAAACTCGCCGTTGTATTTTATGTGTGAAAACTGCAACAACCTGCAAGGTAGAATTGATTTATTTTCTTGTAAGCTTTCGCAGCTCAAAAAATTGTAAAGGTATTTCGGTACTATTTGCTTGTGTATAGTCATTAATTTATTTAATTTTTTGTCATATTATGTAAGTTTTGTTATATTGTGTAATTTTTGTTATGTTGTGTAATTTATCTTATATCCAAATTATGTCTTATTGTGCAATATTTATTTATATTTACTTTTGTAATTACAATTTTTTTCCTACTCTATAACTAGGCATTTAGCCTGTAGAGCAGTGTATTTAATAAATAAAAAATAAGATAAATAATTACAAAGTACAATTCCTCGACAGATTTTGCTGCAATCACAATTCCAAATTACTTTGAGAGAAAAAAAGTACTTAAATACAATTACAAATTACATAAAGAAAAAAAAAGTAATTGTAATTATTAATTATTTTTTAACTAGAAATTACCCAGCTCTGCAAAATGTAACTAGGAAATTAAAACTATAATCAAAACAAAACCTTAAAAATAATATTTAAATAGTTTTATACAGATTCGGAATTTGCAGTACATGTTGGATTTTACACTATGCTTTTCGCAAACATATTTAGTCCGTTTAGAACATACTATTGATGTTTTTGAGTTGTTGTCTCTAGTAGAGGAGCTTACAACAGTTTATTTTTACCCTCCAAATTTCATTAGTCTAAATGTAATCGTTCAAAATATAAGAAGTAGACTTTTGAGTAACACTGTATTTTCATATGGACATATTTCTTACAAAAACGATTATAAAATTGTTGAATTTGAAATAAACGCATTTTAGTCATATTTAATTGAGTGACGTCATGTGACTTGTTAAGGAGGTCCTTTCGCCACACCTCTCGCCTCAAATGTTAAAAAAAAAGTTATTAGATTATGACTAAAATTAATTTTTTTCTAATAGTTGAAGTCCTTATTTATCTAATACTGAACTTTTAACTATACCTTACCTTGCAAATTTTTGAGAATTTTTTTTTAAATGTGAGTATTTGTACAGTGCCTCACGAGAAAGTAAGTCCTCAACAACAATTCTCGAATTATACTATTATTTATTGATTAGATAGAGTAAAAAAAAACTAAAAATAAGGTTTTTGAAATATTTAGATTTTGTTTTATACAATAAAATATATATAATAAACCGTGGAACTTATTGAGAAATTAATATTAAAAAATCACAAAAAATTTTCAAGCAACCTAGTTGCAAATTTTTTGTGATTTTTTAATAATAATTTCTCAATAAATTCCACGGTAACCTATATATTTTATTGTAAAAAACGAAACCTAAATATTTCAAAAACCTTATTTTTAGTTTTTTTCTACTCCATCTAATCAATAAATAATAGTAAAATTAACTATAATTCGAAAATTGTTGTTGAAGTCTTACTTTCTCATAAGACACTATACAAACACACACATTTTGAAAAAAAAAATTTCTCAAAAATTTGCACGGTAAGGTATAGTTAAAAGTTCACTATTAGATAAATAAGGACATCTACTATTAGAAAAAAATTAATTTTAATCATAATCTAATATGTTTTATTTAACATTGGTGGCGAAAGGACCTCCTTAACTTTGTAAATGGCAACTTCTTCTCATTTACCCAAAAGTAAACTAAATGTTATAATAAATAGAAAAAGATGTCATTGTTGAGAAAGTAACTGATACTTAATTTTACATATAAAATTAAACACACTTTTAATTATTTAAATAATAGGTATTTATTATACAAGGGAAAATATTAGATTTTAGCTCGAGGTCCTGTTTAGACACCGAAAGCTATAATCTGTTTTTAACCATGTACAATATACTATCTTTTCTGTTACGGAAAAACAATGGCGGCTCCAGAGGGGGGCAGCGGCAGGGGGAAATGCTCCTTTGAAGTTAAAATTCTTACAATTAATGACTCTTTTATTAAAAAAATATGCTCAAAAGGGAATAATTATTGGCAGTTAAATCGTACATAAACCGTTATTTGTTTTTTTTTTTTTTCAGTAAAAGTCGTGCGAATGAGATGGAAAAGCCTGCGAGATTCGTACGTGAAAGAAATCAAATACAAAATGGCCGTCAGCACGGGTCACAATGTGAAGCCGAGAAAAAATTGGCGGTACAGCAATTGCATGACATTCCTAGCGCCGTATCTGGCCATCAGTTTTCCGCTGCCCCCCAACAAATCCTCCCCCGAGGACACGAAAGAAGAGTTAGGTGACCACGAACACGAACCCGAACAATCGTTTAGTATGAACATGAATTCGTCGAACGAAGACGAAGCTAATGGTCATTTTCTTGGCGCCCTTTTAGACTTTTCCAAACATGATAATTCGGAAAAAGGAGATATTTCTTCCAGACAAGAATACGTTACCTCCTCCACAAATACTCCTAATAAATCAGAAGACAGTGATGTCGATGCGTTTTTCAAAGGCATCTCGGAGACCGTCAAAAAAATGAACGTTGTTAATCAGGTCTTTATTCAAAGAAATATTGTTAATATGATTCTCGATTTTAAATTAAGAGAAGCGCAGGAAAAGTATATTATTCAGCAAAGGGTTGCTGATGATAATGATTAAAATGTAGTTTTCGATTTATACCATGTTCTTCTTAAGGTACGTTTAGATTCAATTATGAGCGTGTTTAATTTCTTGCTTAATTAACATTTGGCAAATTGTTATATTAAAAACGAATATATTTAATTTAAAAAATGAATCACAAAAGTATAATATTTATGCTCTTTATCAGAAAAAATCGGAGTACCTCTACTCAAAAAATTAAAAAAAAGTGCGGTGAAAAATAAGATTCGTCAAAAAAGAAGATTTTTCCATTTTTATGCTTATTAGATTTATTAGATATTTGTCGAAAATAATTTGTAAACTAAGCCATTCTCAATGTCATATTTTTGAAAATTTTGGAGAAATTTTGCAAAAAAAAACAACAATTTAATTAGTATCACACCACACACAACCTTAAAACTTGAAAATAAATTCCTTACATTTGTCAATCTTAAAGTAAAATATCCAATCCAGCAAGCAAATGTGTAATTGAATGTAAATGCACCTTTTTATGTCTCAGTTCAATTCTGAAATTTTATGCGTCAATGACATCTGTCAAAAATTATGACAAAGTTGCTTGATACAAAATATCTGAGAGAATTTCTTGTACTATAGGGGAAGGTCGCCTATGATGGCGTACTTAAATTTGATACTCTGTATCTTCCTTATTTGTGAACGCAAATTTTTCTGTTTTGCACGTGTACAACCTTCATGTAATAGCTATTGATGATAGCTATGCAAATTCTGATTACTTTTTTTTTTTTTGAAACGGCTATATGAAGAATTATTGAGCCATGCCATCATAGGAACATGTCGGAACCTATGATGGCACACTCTCAGAATTTAAATACCTACATCTATTTAAATTAAGTTTTATTTCAGTCAACAATAACAAAATAGGTGATAATAAATGTCATATGATAAAAATATATCAACTAAAAAAAAATCTACTGGCATAGCTCGCAGACAAACATTTTGGTTTTACTAGATACTCCAGCGCTTTCACAATGGCACCAGGATGAGCATTTCTGGCAGCGGATCCAAGATTCTCTAGCACGAGAACGAGAATAAAGTTCGTTGCAGTATAAACAGGCAACATCGGATTCCCCATCACTATCGACATTATATGGATCATCATTTTCTTTATTATCTTCCTCGTCCTCTAGTGTTACCCTTCTCTTCGCTTTTCTCGCTAGCTTTTCTCGCTCCTTCCTAGCTTTTTCGTCTGCTTGATTTTTCAATTCTTCAATGTCAGGTGTACTATTCAGAAGACCACATTTCTCGCTTCATGTTTAGGTTCAGCTACTGGCACAGGTGATACTTCTTGAATAGTAAACTTAACTTTTCGTATTAAAGTAGAAGAACTTGCTGCTTCCGACGTAGAAGGACTTGCTGCTTCCGGCTGCTTCCGTTGTTGAAGGACTTGCTGCTTCCATTGTTGAAGGACTTGCTGCTTTAGACGTAGAAGGACCTGCTGTGCCTGATGAAGGAGGACCTGCGGTGCCTGATGAAGAAGGGCCTACTTCTTCGACATCTGAGGCTATTTGTAATTCTTCTATTGGTTGTTCACATGCATCTGGGGCTAGTTGTTCTTAGGTCTGTCCGTAGTGAGGGATGGAGCAAACATCCAATCCTCATATATTTCAGGATTTAGAGGAACTATTCCTACTTTGCGAAATGCGTTTATTGCATTCGCCGGTGTTGCACTTTTCAAATAGGCATTTGTAAACAGACTAGCCACCTGAAAATGCGTTACCTACCATCCTCCCTAGATTTTGTTTAAGTCATATTTGTATCTCTTGGCTATAATAGGTTTGTAACGGGCCGAAGAAACCAATATCAAGTGGCTGCACATGATAGGTGCAGTGCGCAGGGAAACAAAATAAAACAATTCCGGTATTTTTGGCCATTTGGAGAACCTCTAAGCTCTTATGGCTCGAATGGCCGTCCAGTAGGAGAAGCGCTTTGTTCTCAACAGATGCCTTTGTATAGTGTGCAAAATGTTGAAGCCATTTGACAAAGATTTCGCTATTCATCCACCCATTCTCTTGACAAAATGCTTTGCTACCAGGTGAAGAATTATCCATTAGTTCATTCTTGAACCGTTTCCGGGGGAAAATGAAAACTGGGGGAACAGACAACAGTTAAGTGTTGTCCACGTTTCGCACTACTGAGAGTCCCTACCTGTTTTCGTCCGCGAGTAGCAAATATTTTTTGCGGTCTTTTTTACACGGTACTCAGGCCAGTCTCATCAACATTATAAATGTTTTCGAGGGGAAACTTATGCTGATCAATAACTGCAGCAAGTGCAGTAAAATGCGAACTTACGTTGTTCCGATTAAATGCCTGTGCTCGTGCATACGACGTATTCTCTGGTATTCTTAGAGAAATTCTAGGGTTCTTCTTCAGGAATCCGCTGACCCATTTCTTGCCGGCCATTTGTGTTTCCTTATTAAAGTCATGCTTAATATTGTTTTTGTCGGCAATTTGGAATACTAGTCTTCTTAGATCCTTCATCGTTAACCCAAAAAATCTGGTTTTCATTTGAATAATGGGTTGAATTAATTCTTCCTCTATGTTTCTACTCAATACTGCTCTGCTACCTCCCAAATCTCCTTTGCTAGCGTTACATCCTGCTTTGAATCTTCTATGCAATGTTGTCGCCGGGACGTTGAAGGTTTTTGCTGCAAGTAGCCATCCCATTTTTTTGTCCTTGATATTCTGTAATGCTTCTACCATCGCTTCCTCACTCCACTCCTGCCTATTTTTCTGGCCAGACATGGTTGGTAAATCTGTTGATAACAATAAGATGGGATGAGCTACGTATTAATGTATAATAATCAATGGTGTCCTTTGATGGCATACCCCGTCATCAATGGTGTCCTATGATGGCATACCACGCCATCATAGGGGACCGTGAAGTATGCCATCATAAGCAAAAGACGATTTTTGAGTTATCGACCACAAATTTTTTTCCCCGAGAACATAACCTCAAAATAATTATATACACACGTGCATAAATAACACCCTAATGTACGAGCACCGGAATAATTCGGATAGATAATTATATGAAAAGTGCAATTTTACATTTATTAGTCGATAATATTACTTCATTAATTACCAATTTTCTTTTTCACCCATAAAATGACAACAAAATCGTTGGCCGACTGCATACAAGAGCATTATAATATAGCTGCGCTTGCGCGCACCGAACTAGAGCGCTAGAACTGATACGTTCGTATTATTTACAGCCGGTATGCCATCATAGGCGACTTTCCCCTACCAGTCAGATATTTAAAATAAGTAATTTTAATTTTAAAGTTCAAAGATGTATAGTCTGATTGTAATGGATTTTTTGAGTATTATTGAGTAACGACATGCCATTTTTAGATTTTTTTGTTTCATGATGCTTACTAAAACTAGAAAGAGAAGAGAAAGTATCTTTAGGGTATTATATAGAATTTTCGTAAATTATTTTACATTTGACAACATAGCTTAATTTTCTTCAAAATCCAACGAACTTAGACATAAACTTAGACATATGGCATATGTCATTCTTGTAGTTTACGTTTATATGCATACAGTTTTAGAGTTGAACTACATTTAAAGTCAGACTGGATTTTTCTAAAATAATTTTGTTGATTTTGTATATTAAATTAATAAAAGTACACAACTTTCAATGCCTTTAGATTTGGATGAATAAGACTGAAAATATTTTTTAATTAAAGTGTACGTCCAAATTTTTTGTCACTTTGTTTATTGTTGGCAGTCTAAAATAGTTATTTGTGTACCAAGGCCGTAAAGTTAGTTGATCTTTTATGGCCGAAGTAGAGCCAATATTTTTTTACATTCTTGTTTTTAAATAGAGGCTTAAATGCAAGAATTGTTTTAAATTTTTATTGATCGAATAAAAATTTGTACAGAACTACTAACGATAAGTATAATAAACCTGCGTTTATAAAAAGCGTCCGTAAAGTATATGCGGCCAAAAAGGTGACATTAAAAGCGGCCATAAACTAAATGCGGCCAAAAAGTGACACTTTAGGGATGTTAATAAATCCGTAAAATGTCATTTTTTTGACAGTCGCCTGAAATAGTTTATTTATGGAACAAGTGAGAAAAGGTACTTTACACACGAGTTGCATACAATATTTTTGCTACTACCGTACGGCGTAGAAAAGTTACTTTTTTTCACTAAAATACCTTTTTTTTACTTTAAGCACTAGTGAAAAAAAGTACTTTACGTACGGTAGTAAAAAAAGGTATTTTTGACACCAGAAAAATATTTTCAATGTCAATCAGTGGAAGTAGAATGTTTTACGAGTAGTTCCGTACAAACATGTCAATTAGATAGATAGTTACTTAATATTATTCCAAGAATGATATCCCCTTTTTTATTTTAAAGTATTTATTAGATCCAGTTTGGCTTAACTACTATGTGATTTTACATTGCTTATGATACACAAAAGTAATTTTGTAATGTTATATAATTTCTTATTTTTTTATTAAAATACAATAATTAAAAAATCTATTTTATTTATTTGTACCTACAAAACATCACATGGTTTAGAATTCCTAATTGTGTCTATGGTGTGGAAGGGACGTCACAAGGAAGTGACATTAGTAAATATTATGAAGACTAGAGATAAGGAGGCGAATCGACCTTGGTCAAATTTCAAATTTCCGTCCCTATTTTTATGGAGTTCCAAAAAACTACTGTAGTTGGCGGGTGGCAAAATAACTAGGTCTATTTTCTATGCAAGTCAATGGGAATTAAAGTGATTTTTGTAAAATTTAGTGAAAAGAATAAAAATAAGCTGAAATAAAGAACCTGACTACAAGTAACAATGAGTAACAAAAGACGGCAAAGCAGCATTTGCTTCGTTCCGGGTTGAAAAACTGGATATAAATCCGATATAAAATGAAAGAAAACACAAGAAGATAAAAATCCAAGTCTTTTTAAAGCTCCTAGTGTAAGTAAAATAATGTATTTATTTCTAAATAATATATATTTATTGTAAAATAGTCACAACCCGTATCTTACGGAGTGTAGTT